CTTTTACTGGGAAAAAATTTCCCTCTTTTCTACATACTCTAACTTGAGCCTCACTATCCTCGTAAAAACTCTTCACTGCTTTCAGTAACCTACCTCCTACACCATACACTTGCAACATCTGCCACATTGCCCCCCTATCCACCCTGTCATACGCCTTTTCCAAATCCATAAATGCCACAAAAACCTCTTTAGCCTTATCTAAATACTGTTCACTTATATGTTTCACTGTAAACACCTGGTCCACACACCCCCTACCTTTCCTAAAGCCTCCTTGTTCATCTGCTATCCTATTCTCCGTCTTACTCTTAATTCTTTCAATTATAACTCTACCATACACTTTACCAGGTACACTCAACAGACTTATCCCCCTATAATTTTTGCACTCTCTTTTATCCCCTTTGCCTTTATACAAAGGAACTATGCATGCTCTCTGCCAATCCCTAGGTACCTTACCCTCTTCCATACATTTATTAAATAATTGCACCAACCACTCCAAAACTATATCCCCACCTGCTTTTAACATTTCTATCTTTATCCCATCAATCCCGGCTGCCTTACCCCCTTTCATTTTACCTACTGCCTCACGAACTTCCCCACACTCACAACTGGCTCTTCCTCACTCCTACAAGATGTTATTCCTCCTTGCCCTATACACGAAATCACAGCTTCCCTATCTTCATCAACATTTAACAATTCCTCAAAATATTCCCTCCATCTTCCCAATACCTCTAACTCTCCATTTAATATCTCTCCTCTCCTATTTTTAACTGACAAATCCATTTGTTCTCTAGGCTTCCTTAACTTATTAATCTCACTCCAAAACTTTTTCTTATTTTCAACAAAATTTGTTGATAACAGCTCACCCACTCTCTCATTTGCTCTCTTTTTACATTGCTTCACCACTCTCTTAACCTCTCTCTTTTTCTCCATATACTCTTCCCTCCTTGCATCACTTCTACTTTGTAAAAACTTCTCATATGCTAACTTTTTCTCCCTTACTACTCTCTTTACATCATCATTCCACCAATCGCTCCTCTTCCCTCCTGCACCCACTTTCCTGTAACCACAAACTTCTGCTGAACACTCTAACACTACATTTTTAAACCTACCCCATTCCTCTTCGACCCCATTGCCTATGCTCTCATTAGCCCATCTATCCTCCAATAGCTGTTTATATCTTACCCTAACTGCCTCCACTTTTAGTTTATAAACCTTCACCTCTCTCTTCCCTGATGCTTCTATTCTCCTTGTATCCCATCTACCTTTTACTCTCAGTGTAGCTACAACTAGAAAGTGATCTGATATATCTGTGGCCCCTCGATAAACATGTAAAATCCTGAAGTCTACTCAACAGTCTTTTATCTACCAATACATAATCCAACAAACTACTGTCATTTCGCCCTACATCATATCGTGTATACTTATTTATCCTCTTTTTCTTAAAATATGTATTACCTATAACTAAACCCCTTTCTATACAAAGTTCAATCAAAGGGCTCCCATTATCATTTACACCTGGCACCCCAAACTTACCTACCACACCCTCTCTAAAAGTTTCTCCTACTTTAGCATTCAGGTCCCCTACCACAATTACTCTCTCACTTGGTTCAAAGGCTCCTATACATTCACTTAACATCTCCCAAAATCTCTCTCTCTCCTCTGCATTCCTCTCTTCTCCAGGTGCATACACGCTTATTTGACCCACTTCTCGCATCCAACCTTTACTTTAATCCACATAATTCTCGAATTTACACATTCATATTCTCTTTTCTCCTTCCATAACTGATCATTTAACATTACTGCTACCCCTTCCTTTGCTCTAACTCTCTCAGATGCTCCAGATTTAATCCCATTTATTTCCCCCCACTGAAACTCTCCTTTCCCCCTTCAGCTTTGTTTTCGCTTAGAGCCAGGACATCCAACTTCTTTTCATTCATAACATCAGCAATCATCTGTTTCTTGTCATCCGCACTACATCCACGCACATTTAAACAACCCAGTTTTATAAAGTTTTTCTTCTTCTCTTTTTTTTGTAAATGTATACAGGAGAAGGGTTACTAGCCCATTGCTCCCGGCATTTTAGTCGCCTCATACGACACGCATGGCTTACGGAGGAAAGATTCTTTTCCACTTCCCCAATGGACAATAGAAGAAATAAAAAAGAACAAGAGCTATTTAGAATAAGGAGAAAAACCTAGATGTATGTATATATATATATGCATGTGCGTGTCTGTGAAGTGTGACCAAAGTGTAAGTAGGAGTAGCAAGATATCCCTGTTATCTAGCGTGTTTATGAGACAGAAAAAATATATATATATATATATATATATATTATATATATTATATATAATATATATATATATATTATATATATAGGTATGTATATTCTTGATAAGTCTGATGTGTTTCCAACTTTATTGTATGATTGTGAAATCATACTGCACATGCTGCTAGCCCTCATAAAAAATTCACATTCCAATTCATAGGTTCAGGCAATTTATCCTATTTTCCTAGCATCATCATTAGCATATCTGGTAATACCTGTTTAACCCTTTCAGGGTTTCAGCCGTACTAGTACAGCTTACGAGCCAGGGTTTTTGACGTACTAATACGCCTAAATTTTAGCGCCCTCAAATCTAGCAAGAGAAAGCTGGTAGGCCTACATATGAAAGAATGGGTCTATGTGGTCAGTGTGCGCAGCATAAAAAATATCCTGCAGCACAGTGTGTAATGAGAAAAAAAAAAAAACTTTGACTGTGTTTTTGGATTAAAACAGCGACTTTGCACTGCGTTTTCATATGGTATTTATTGTTGTACATATTTTAGTTTTCCTGGTCTCATTTTATAGAATGGAAGACATATTACAGGAATTGAGATGATTTTGACTGGTTTTACAAAGAAAAGTACCTTGAAATTGAGTTCAAAGTAGCAGGAATGTTTGATTTTTACCGAAGTTCAAAAGTAAACAAATCATGCTATGCGTCCAATACATGTTAACTGGTGAGTCTTATATTCTTTCACAAGTGCGCTGATATTATTTATACCATTTCTACACCAATGCAGTAGTCTGCATAACACTAAATCTTCTATTTTTTTGTGAGAATAAAAATTCAATGTGGAAAGCAAAAGAATGTAAGAGGGGGATGGGAACGTGACTAATGAACAGAGGAAATGTTATTTTAGTGCCAGGAATGTCTTTCTTGTTTATTCTGGACCCTATTCGGAAATTGGCATCTTTTGAAATTTGTGTGAAATTGGCAAAATTGCTAAATTCTGACCACTGTATTGGATAGTTGAAATCGGTAAATGGGTGGTTTCTTGTACTCATTCGATAGAAAAAATGGAGTTCTAGCGAAATAGTTATGATTTTTGTCGACAAGTACACTGAATTGGCCGAAAATAGGGATCAAAGTGGCCAAAATCACCGATGCGTAAACATCGTCGAGACCTCTAACTTCGCGAGAGCATAATTCTGTAAGTTTTCCATCAAATTTCATACTTTTGGTGTCATTATGATTGGGAAAAGATTCTCTATCTTTTCATAAGAAAAATAATTTTTTTTTTAAATTTGGCCGACCCTGAGAACAAGTCTCTGAGAGGGCCTGTCGACCCTGAAAGGGTTAATAGATGGACATTAATGGTTTATGTTGTTTAGTCAGCAATCACTGACCAGGAGCATACCATTATCCTCTATACAGTACTGCATACTGCTCTTCAACAACCCATGTGGAATTGTACATGTACAGATTGGGATAACTGATTGAAAATACTGTACAAACCTGCAGCTCATTAGAGATGATCTATAGTTGGGGACCATATCCTATCTACATTATAAATATGTACACACAGATCCTGAAATAGGACTACATGCAAACCATGATTAAACTACAGTGGAACCTCAAATATCGAACTTTCTTCGGTCCAGAAGGCTGTTCGAGTGCCTTTACTTCGAATGAATTTATTCCCATCAGGAATAATGTAAATTAGATTAGTCCATTTCAGACCCTCAAAAATACACTTATAAAAGCACTTACAAAAATACACTTACATAATTGGTCGTGTTGGGAGCAGTTCGATTTTTGAGGTTCCACTGTATAGCCAATCTCATGATCTCTTGTGTTCATATTTATAATGTAGGTATGATACAGGCCCCAACTATAGACTATCTCTAACATACTTCAGGTTCATATTGTCAGTTATTTATCCCAGCCTGTACATTCTTCTCAGACTTGCATTAGTCTTTGAAGTTCGATTTTGATTGCTCTTTAAATTCACAGAAATCCATGAAATTCAAACATTTGTTGTATAGTTAAGTAAAAAATTGTCATAACTGACTATATGATGAGGTAGCTAGTTGTAGTTAATTACCAGTATTAATTAATTAAGTGCTTGGTCAACACTGCTTTTAATAACTATTCAGTATTTTGATAATCGAGTCATAAAATATACCAATTTGTGCAGATCGTGATATTATTAGAATACTTCTGTAGATAAAGCACTTTTTCACATTTTCTGGGACATTCAGCACTGTACTCTATTAATTTTAACAGATTTATTCAGTATATACTAGATAATAAGGAAGCAAAATGGATATAGTAATTATTGATAGAAGTCGAGTTCACATAATGTGAGTACAAAACTTTAAGAACAACAATGCCTTGATTTAACGGGCACATAAAGAGGAGCGTGTGGCTGGTGATGGTGATTGTGGTAGATAGAAACAAGATTTTTTGTTGTGATTGTTAACAATAATGGACAATTCAGAAACCAGTGGACTTTGTCTCATATAGCCTAAATCTGTTAAATTGAGAGTTTACTGTAGAAAATTTTTGCATATGTATAATATACTGTATCAGCATTATTCAAGTTAAGGTACATTATAATACAAATATTATTTGGTTCATAAAACATTATTTCAGATATTGATAAGAATAATTATTGTACCATACCTATCAAGTATACAAAGCGAAATTTAAACTTATTACTACAACATTTTGCAGGCTTCCCCGGCATGCTGCAGTGACCAAAGCATTATCAGCAAGTCAAGCACAGTGATGAGTTCAGATTGTTCCAGCCAGCAGCTCTTCTTCCTCAACTCAAGCTTAGATTTTTCAAGTTCCCCATTGAATCTCTCTGACCTACAAAGTTCTTCCCCAGCAACCTCTTATGACTCTGCCACTCCTAAGAAAATATTTACTGCAAATGGTCAAAAGAAATTAAGAAATTTCTCTTGGAATGTTAACAAGGCTGCTCAGAGAAGGTTGAGCACTGGCTGTCTTTACAATGAAGATTTAAATGATGTAACCAATATAAATGTAAGTGATTCAAAATTGTCATATGCTGGTGGGAAGACAAGCCTCAAATGTGAAAATGAAAGCAGTACTGCCTCCTCTGAGCTGAGATTGTCTAACCTTAAGAGTGGTTCTAATTCATCATCTCTTGGATCTGGTAGTAGCTTTTATGATAGCATCAACACAGATGCTGAAAATATGGGCAGTGGTAATAAATTGATGCATGTAGAAGTAGCCTTTGAGTGGAACCCCATACCATCACAGAAGATCCAATATCTTCCTCCTGCTGGTCACGTGTGGACTCCAGCTCACATGCTGAGTTCAGACAAGCACCTGCCCCCTGTTACTAGTATCTTGCATAGGTGGCCAACCCCAACAAAGATTCCTATTGTGCATCCCCATGGAGATTCTTTCAAAAGAAAGAAAGGCAGCCTTAGTGAAAAGATACCAAAATGTGTTGATAGAGAGAGCAATGCACAGCAGTGGATGGCTGATTCTTTGGAGGATGAAAATCAGGGCTTTGATGCCATAGGAAAGATGAAGGGCAAGTTAAGAGTAATGAATGGTGCTGTGCGAGTTAAAAGTGTTGATCGTCCATCTGTGCTCTCTATGGTTCAAGAAACTTCTAGTTCATATTCAGAGTCAACACTAGGAAGAAATATGATTAGCAGTCCAAAGTCTTCAACAAATATTCAAGCAAACAAAGTAAGTGAAAGCTGTGACAAAAGAACATCTGACTTGGATGGGTCACGGATGCACCTAGGACAACCCCGAGCATCATTGTTGAAGGAAGGTGGCTCTCCAGCAAGGTATACTGATACTGATGATCTGAATTCACGTGTTCACCAGATTTTGGCACGCATTGCAGGAAGTGCCCAGTAATGAAAAGTTTTGTTACACTATTTTATCATATTCACATAATCTCTGCTGATTACAAAATATTTGATGTAATAAGAACTACAAAAATTATTCAGGTAGGTTCTTAATCAAATATTACTTTTTATGAGCTATTGGTATTATATATTTTATTTTAATAACTTTATGACTGGTCTCAGTTATATATACCCCTAAGCTTTAAGAATAGTGGATTGTTACTATAGTTATGGGGGTAATATCTGAGAATTTTAACTCCTTTTAACTATGTTGTTATGAATTTTTGTTATAATGGAATTACTTAGGATTGGGCATTTTTCCTTAACTTATTTGCTATGTATTATATTTTCTTTTCTACTTTTGCCCATGTACTCATATTGTGATAGGAGTATATTCATTCCATGCCTCATATGTGAGTCATATTGTGTTGAAGGTCTTTACTCACTAAGGTACTTGACGTTTTAGCCGGGTACCTGAGCTCGCAGCTATGCCAAAGTGCTTTGACAAATTAAGCAACCATTGCTGAGACAGTCATGTATTTTTCTGCATGCATAATTGCAGGCATGATATTATACAGATTACATAGTATGTACATTTTCCTGGGTGGAGATGATCTGTTGTAAATACTTCTGGGTTGTTTTATATAGTGTTTCCTATGGCATGTTATGCAATTCCAGAATGTTAGTCTCCCAGGTGATCTTCCCTTCCTCTGGATTGCACTTTTCAAGTGGAGATTAAGATGCTCATTGAGTCTGAAAGAGAATGTGATTGAGGTGTAGGTTTACTCTTAAAGAATTGCAGTTATAAGTAAATACACTAATTATGAAGAGATTTCATAGCTCTGCATTAATGATGGAACAACACATCTTTAGAATAAGACACCATTACCAAAATTCTTTTTAACTCTTCATTTTATTTGAGCCATGGTATACTTAACTGTAGGCACGCATATTTTTTATTTCTCTTAGTGGGAATATGACAAAGCTTTTATCCTTGTTTACTGTGCCAGAGTCAGGTGATAGAATACATGGTACTGTATGAATGTAACTAGTCACTAAATTCGTCATCCTTGAAAAAAAAAAAAAACTTGTTTACCTGGTAGGAAGGCACATAAATAAACACGAGCTTGTATTCTACTGAGGTTTAAAAAATTTCTTTGTGTAGTTTCATACAGTATATATATGATGTCCACACATTTCTGGCAAGACAGCTATTGAATGATTGATGGTGAATATGTTTTCTTTCTTGGGTCACCATATCTTGGTGGGAAATGGTCAGTGTACAGTATCAGAAAATAAACTGTGTTTGTGTATTGTATAATAAATATAAAATAAATAACCACATACTTTTGTTTACTTTTTAGTACATTGGCCATTTTCCACAAAGGTATAGTGACCTTGCCATCTTTCCAGAAATGTGCTGACATTACAATTAGAATAGCAGCGCTGTATAGTCCTTGTGGCTTAGCGCTTCTTTTTGATAATAATAATACAATTAGAATAGCCTCTCTGACTGCAACATCATCACCCCTCTTTCGGAGTGTAGGCACTCTCCTTCCCACCTCCAAGCCTCAAGTCCAGCTAACTGGTTTCCCAGAATCCCTTCTTAAAAGTCACCCTCCTCACACACTGACAGCATGTCCATTAAAAAGCACTTGTCTCTGTGCACTTTTGTCTAACATGTTCACACAAGCCTGCTAAAATTCGAAGCCTCTTGTACCTCATACCTCTGACCATTCCTTGGACAACCCTACCCTTCCTACCTTGCACCCCAGATTTATACACTCACTTGGTTAACCTGCTCTGCTTATTCTTTCTAAGTTGTCAAGTCATCTCAGGAATCCCTCCTTCACTCTATATTATGCCTTTATTGCCCCACACACAGTCTTCTAATTTTTACACTCCTATTCTCTGCATAATGGTTTACATCAGTACCATCAACCTTCTCATTGGAATGTTTGAAGACTATTATACTCAGTTACATTTGCCCTTTTGCCTCCATTGATAGAAAATAATTTCCACAGAACTCAACACTACACCTACTTTTAGTATACCCCCTTCCCCCATCTAGTTTGATTCACCTTTTCTTTCATACACCCCACATATTTTTTTTTTAATACATTGGCAGTCTCCCACTGAGCAGGGTGACCCAAAAAAGAAACACTTCCACCATCATACACAGATAATCACTGTCTTTGCAGAGGTGCCCAGATATGACATAACAGTTTAGTTGTCACTCCAAAACAGGCATTGTACTTCCCACCTCCAGGATTCACGTCCATCTAATCAGTTTCCCTGAATCCCTTCACAAAGTATTACCCTGCTCACACTCCAACAGCTCGTCAAGCCCCAAAAACCCTTCTTCTTCTAACATACTCGCATATGTCTGCTGCATGTCCAGGCCCCTTGCACACAAAACCTCTTTTACCCCTCCATGCTTTCCGGACAACCTCTACCCCTCCACTACAGATTTATACACCCTCCAAATCATTCTATTTTGCTCCATCCTCTCTAAATGACCACTTATAAATGTAAATTATACCATAATGGTATATAAACATGCATCACTTAAGTCTTTTTTTAACTTATAGTATACATTTTCTTCCAGTATTTTAGGATACATGTAAGAAATTAACTTCGATGACAATTGGTTGCAACTAGTGTATTGTACTGTGTTATGAAGCTAAAGCCAGTTATGGCTTACATGCTCAAGAGGGGTGAAAGGTCAGCAACATGCTCATTGTTGATGTTATTCTTATGTTTCTACTATGACTTGTAATCCTAGACCTTGTACTGTATATTGTGCAAGATGAAGCAATGTAAATTTTATATAAAGTATTTGTATGGACTCATGAAATTTAAACAGTCATCTTGAGCAGCTCCTGATAAGTGTTTATTTAGTTATATTAATGATTTAAGACATCTGCGTAATGTTTTTGGTAATGAAGTGTATTTGGCAATGTTTGTTTGCATTAAATCGCCATAAATTGTGCATAAATTGGGGAGAAGAGAACCTTGTATCTTACATATATAAATACGTAATGGTGTTATTGACCCATTAACGTCACTCTACCTACCACAACCCAAGTGAGTTGCCAAAGGTTGCTATTTACAACATTATCCACTTTAATTATATATATTCTATAGTATTTATGAAATTTTACTTAACAATAAAGTGCTACCCAGGATTTTTTGTGGGGGTTTTCTTGGAGTATAGGAATACATGCTTGATACATTGGCATTGTTTTTATCACTTATGTGGAATTTTACTTAAATAATTGTTTGTGGGTAACACTTAATGTCAACTTAATTTTGAGTTTTAAAATTTACCTAATGCTATCTTCCTTATTACACACATGAACGAATGCATATCAGTCATTATGCAACTACATTGTGTATGAAAAGATAGCTTAGGATACAAACTAAGACTGTTCAATTGATCATATTCCTGGGCAGACATAATACATTCATCTTCAGGGGAAAATATTCTTTTTATTGTGAGCTTAAAACTGTGATGAACAGTATATTTTTTTTTTAACACACTGGCTGTTTCCCACTGAGGAAGGGTGACTCAAAAACAAGGAAGCACATTCACTGTCTTGCCAGAAGTGTACTGACATTGCAGTTCAGATCTTTTTGATTATTATAGTAACTGCAGTTCAGATTATTATTATTATAATCAAAAAGAAGCGCTAAGCCACAAGGGCTATACAGCTGCAGTTCAGATGACCCTCTGATCTAAAACTGTATTTATATTGATTAATAATATTTACTGGCTAATTAAAATTGTTAAATAATTATATTTTTAATTGTTATTGTCGTATAATTTACATAGTTATCTGGATAAACTAGTGACTATATCCAGATTGAATTTTGTCTGTTATATTGGAAAACATGGACCATTGAGATTTGGATATTTGTGTTTACTATATTATTAATTGAATTTTAGTTGATTTGTGATCTTAGTTTATAAGGCAAATGAGTTGTTTTGCTGGACAAGCCAACTGTAAATTCATTGTTGCAATAGCTCCATGAAATTTAGTCTAACCATAATGGAATAAATATATCTTACTGATGCTGAATAATACTAATTTAGACTGACCTAAGATGGGTTGGATAGGACTAAGCTAAATTATATTACATTAAGTTTTAACAACACTTGATTAGGTTACTAAATTAGTTTTGGTGCAGAATAAAAGTAATTATCCAGTAATATTATCATCAAAACTAAGCTCTAAACCCACCAGGGTCATACAGCACTGCTGGTTGAGTATGTAATGTCAAAAAGATCTGTATTTAGGTGTTTGACTTTCACCAAGTTTGCCTAAAAAACATGACACATGTACATGCATGTTTATACTGAGTGGACCATTTTCCCAAGTTATGATGACCCTGTTCATTGCTTATTTAATAGCTATCTTACCTGAAGTACACAGACATCACAATTCAAATGATTCTACATACCCAGCCATCCTTCCAAGTGTATTATTACAATCAAAACTTAAGTACTAAAACCCACAAGGGTCATACAGCATTTGAGTGGTATAAACAGTCTAATTCCTGGTATATACATGTAAGTAATGCATAAGGCAATAGTTAAACTGGATTCTAAGAGAAATTATGAAGACATGTACAGCCTCTCCTCACTTAGCAGGTTTTACTCTTCTTTTGATTATAATAATCCTCATTTAACGTACTCGTTTACCAACCACTTGGACTTACGACCAGCTCTCCAACCAGTATGCATACCTAAATAATGTATACAAGGAGCTGATTTCCTCTATTCTGTTTATTACAGTATACAGTAAACTACTGTATAAACAATCGAAAATATACCAGAAATGTTATAAATGGTACAAAGGTGACATTAACATCCCACTACCAGTATAGTATGCTCTTCACTTACCGACTTACTCGTAGGAATAGAGCCCCCGTCGTTAAGTAAGGAGAGGCTGTATTGCACAAGTATTATTATTATTATAATCAAGGGGGAAGCACTATAAACCGGAGGATTATACAGGCCTGGGGGGGATGTGGAAGGCATTCAGGCTTAATTCGGGGAACTGGAGCACAGATCCAATTCCCTTAATCAAGAGCCCCTCACCAACATCAAGGAACCTTCCTTGAGGGGTATTGCACAAGTAGCATTCACAAATGAAAGCCCATGGTGAAGAACGACACCTCATTGTGCTTGCTCTAGAGTTCATGTGTGTTGGATACTGAAGCCCCTACCACTTAAACCCCCTACCCTTTTCTTTATACCATCCTTCCAATGCCTTTGTCAACTTATCTTGCCCCATCCTTTCTAAACCACTTCTCTGAATTTTACCTTTCATACCACAAAGGTTTAGTGTTTGGTTTTGATTATAATAATAAATCATACCACTAAATTGCCTTCTAATTTCTTCACTGTGCATAATATTGACACCACACGTTGATCTCAAGTATGACGTCTTTACTGCATCCAGTTTTTTTATTGCTGTAAAATTCAAAGACTCTGCCTCATACAAATATAAAGTTTGAAGATTGAGACACTTATGCAGCATATGGAATCTTTATTCAGGAAACGTTTCGCCACACAGTGGCTTCATCACTGTGTGGCGAAACGTTTCCTGAATAAAGATTCCCATATGCTGCATAAGTGTCTCAATCTTCAACTTGTCAGTTTTTCAAACCATTCATCACAAATATAAAATGTTGGCATCACAGTTCTAGTACATTACCCTTTTTTTTTATCCATTTAGAAACTTTGCCACAGTTGACTCTTGTGGGTTTAACAATTAGTTTCGATTGTAATTAATAATAATATTGCCAGAGTTAACTAAACAATCCACCTGCTATAATTCTTATCATATTTCACACATCCATCCAGATTTATTTTAACAGGAGGATGTGCTAAACCTATAGAGGCCTTACAGTGCCTAGAGAATGGGAGGCAGTCAGGATGATCCAAGGAACTGGAGATCAAATCCAATTCTTTGGATCAAGAACTCTTCAGGGTATCCATTCCTTAATACAATTTTCTCCTAAAATCTGACATCCCAGTTCCATTGCCTAGATTTTTTCTTAATCTCATCTCTGCCCTTTTCTATGTTCACTTTTAACTTTCTTCTTTTTATATATTGTCCTAAACTCTTCTAACCTTTGCAACTTCTCTTCCAACTCTCTCAAAATTACCAAGTCATCAGAGAGTAACTAACAACTCCCACTTCATGCCATATGTATGTATACATATGATTTTGAACCCAAATCCAAGTTGTAGAATTCTTTGAACTTCTGTTATGCTAAACACTGCAATAAACCTTGAAACAGGTCGTAAAATACTTGTCAGTGTTTTAGGAAACTCGGTGACCTCTATGATCAAATGTTAGCAATGCATTATCTGCTGAATTTTTGTTTTATAATAAAAAAAAATATGCATTTAAAGGCCATTATGAAATTTTAATTGCATATCATTACTGAAAGGAATCTATTAGTTAAAATGCTATACAGTGCTCTATTTTCCTTGTCTTATTTCTTTAAACTACAAATGGTGTGACTTTGTATATCATTGATTTTTAATCATTATTGTAACAACTTTCATTTTAAATTTGTCCAAGAAAAATATGCATCAGTGGCTAGGAATAACTGAAACTTCACATTCCTCCCCCCTCATAATCCGATTACTTTTGTACTGCGTGCAGGATGTATAATTAACTTCCATACAGTACCATTGTATTTAAAACATTGCTATTTGAGTGTCCTGGGAAGCTACATAAGAACTGTTTAACTGACATATCAGTGCAGTGAGATGAAGCATTTGCATCTTTATTTTGGTAAAGCCTGTGATCACTGACACCCCACAGGTAATAAAAGGTGGCTGGTTCCTACATGTGATGTATCTTAAATAGTTGCTGCCTTTAAAAATCTATGGCCACTGTCAATCATACATGATGCAAGTAGAAGCTCAAGCTTGGGCATCACTTTATAATACTTTTGTAATGATACTGTAATGTATTTAGATTTTGAACCAAAGAGAAAATGAAAAAATTTTTTTGTCAATAACACATTACTCTGAGAAGCTTTATATATATACAGTGTACTGTTATATGATTTATCAGTAATAATGGCCAAAGACCTTTTCCCCACATATTATACTGGTAAACCAGGAATCTTTCTAAAGATTATGCAGAAAGTCTGTGCTGGTCTTCAATAACACTTCTCACTGACAGCTCAAGAGAGAGAGAACTAAGAGTTTGACAAGAAAACTTTAGCAAATCCCACATGACTGTTTACATTTATACCACACAGACATAGGTTAACAGATGTGATAATGTTAATTGTTTAAGTTTGTATCATACAGAAGAAAATCCTTTAGTCACAGCCACATAAAAAATATGCAAACTGTTACATGTATTGTGGATCATTTCCCATCCATATACCTTTAAATACATTACATTGTAAGAGTGTTTAGTAGATTTGCAAGGACGATGTACAGTATTAGCAGCAGCATCTGGTCATTAGTTATTCAGGTACATATACAGACTGAATATTGTAAATACACTGAAATAAAACATAGAGACTACTTACATGAGAAATATTCCTGGTCTTTGTATATTATTTAACTGTCAATTGGAAGACAGGAATTGCTAATTCCTTCTGACATTATTGGTCTATTGTGTATATATTGTATGCCTGATACAAATCAATAAAACTGTTGTATATTAACACTTGTTATTTATAGTGCTTTGTAAGAATGTCAAAAGAACTATTTTTGATATATTTATTGTCTGGTATGACAATTTTGAGATTCCAGTTAAAAAATGCATACCTATTAATGATTTTGATGCCATGTTTAATTCCTACCATGAATTTAACTTTGTTGAGGACATGGCCTCAAATATAATTTTATCTGGATATTTCAGACACCTTCATTTTTTTTTGTGATAAACACCTGAAATGTATAGAATTAATATTTGTGTCTGGGAGCTACTAGTTCATGTCACTAGTTTGTAGAATCTAACATCGTTTCATTGTATTGCTGAGGTACCCAAAGTTTCTTGTTACCTAGTTTGCTTCCATGGCCTTCATATTCCTACACCATAGGATTTTTATTTATTTTCACTAAGTAAAACTAACCACTTCAATCTCTACCTTTTCACCTCTTCAAGGGGGGCTCCTTGGCATGCTGAAGAGGCTCTTGGTCTGAGGAA